TTTGTCCAAGAACCCACAGGCTGGCCACGCCACATCCCCTGCCTGCCCAGTGGCAGGAGGCACAACATGGCATCGTGCAGCTCCCAGGGCAAAGGCAGCAGGGTGCAGAGCCCCAGTCTACAGGTGGAAGCCTGCCACCACCCCGCACACAAATCCAGGAGGCACGTACCCCCTATGCCTCCCCCACGGGTGCACGCAACAGTGGGGACCTGCTCCCTCTCCCCACACACCCCTGGACGAGCTGTCTGCAGCTCTGTCCCATGACCCACTCCAGTTCTGGGACCCCATTCACCCCAGTCCCTGCCCCACTCCCTTCCTCACTGTGAGGGCCTCAATCTGCCCCGACTACACTCCTTTCCTCTCCCCCCCACCCCTCCCCCTCCACAGACTTACCTGCTGGGCGGTGTCTATGTTTGTGTCTATGTGTGGGTCTGTCTGTGTGTGTATGTGTGTCTGTGTGTGTGTCTGTCCCTCACTCCAAAGCCACAGCCCCCCCAGCCTTGCTGCTACCCCTCACTCCTGACCCACAGTACCCCACATCCTGCCAGGGCATGTGGGGACCCCCCTCTCTGGGCTCCAACCCCTCCCACACACTCATAGCCCCCCACAGCTTCACAAATTTTCCCCACACACACACACTCCCCACCCCCACCATGCAAAGTACCTGCATAATTTTGCGTTTTTAGCTGTGCGATTAAAATCATGATTAATTGTGACTAATTTTTTAATCACGCAAGCAACTAATCGCAATCAATTTTTTAAATTGTTTGACAGCCCTAATTATAATCAGATCTAATTCTAGCAGATGGTGATTAAAAAAAAAAAGTTTGATACATCTTCATTGATTCCCATTTTCTAGGAGCACTTCCTAAAGGCATCAAACAACAGGGACAGTCCTTCTTATCTAAATCACTTCTAGTTGCTGCCTCTCAATAACCAGGATGTCTGATGATTCAGACCCAGCTTCCTGGAGGGAAGGATACAGGAGAAATAATGAAATACAGATATTTAAATAGAAAAATCAATAGGGCTTGAATCCGGTAGTGTCCTGTTTTTTGAAAACTTAAGAAGCGACTTCAAAGAGCAATCACAGGGCACTGTAGCTTTGGCAACTCAGTCAACTTTTACTAAGTTGTTTCCAGGGACCTGGCATTAGTGCTGGAAATGGAGGCTACCATGTAGGATAGAGACTCAGTTCACATGTAAGTTCATTACCTCGTTCATCTCTTCTATATTGGTAATCATGACAATGATAGGAGAACACTCTTGCCACACCATTCTCCAGAAATCACTGACAGTATTAACTATGGGTCCCTGAGTGGCAATATATATTTTTTCCTCTCCTCCGTAGCCCTGCCAACAAAGCAACAATAAACCAGTATCAGAGTTATGTGTGCCAAGGCCTTAATAATCCAGTCCTTTCCCAAGGACAGCTACCATTGGCTACAATGGGATTATTACTTGTGTATCAAGATTATTACTTGTGTATTTATCAATCCACAAGTGACTGTGCTGGTTCTCCTTCTCTCATTCTTTTACACACACACACACATGCACACACGCACGCAAGCCAAAAGGTTTGATTTCAGGATGTACAAGCTGCTGGCATTACTATAGCAATGGAAACAACTCATGCTATGATAATCTTTTAGTTACCCCAGGTGAAATCCTGAAGGCATTACTCTGGCATAATGCCAATTCACCTCCTCTCTCTAGCTGGTAAGAGTTCTGCTTGGTTCAGGCCAGTGCAACAGAGAACTCCATGTAAATTTTAAAAAAATGGAGGAACCATGTTTCTGTTTGGTCTGAACCTTTACAACTGTGCTCTGAGGGCACATCTACATGTGTGCCTTAATGTGCATTAGCCTATTTTAATGTGCATTAAAATGTTACTAAAAAGTCATGCTATTTAGTTAATGTGCATTAAGATAAGCTCATGAGAATTTTCCCAGTACCTCACAAAGAAGGGCACCTATACACGAGCGCGGAGGCTGTTCCAACGCACTGGAATTCCGGCGCATCGGAGCCGACTCAATTAATTGAGTCTGCTGGAGTGTGGCAATTGCCACACTCTAGCAGCCTTCTGCATCTCATGTATCAGCGTCCCTGCACTTAAAAATGTCAGCGGAGGTGCTTGAATTAAAGCTTGTTGAACAAGCTTTAGTTCAAGCGCCCACCACTGCCGTTTTTATGTGCGGGAACACTGATACAGGAGATGCAGCAGAATTTTAATTAAAGCATGCCCCTCTCCCCCCTAACACATTAATTAAATGTGCATTAACACACATGTAGGCAGGCCCTGAGATCCTGTTAGTAATATAAAAAAAAAACAAAAACAGAGAGAAAAAGCCATCGAACCCAAAACAGGTTTTAAAGGACAAGAGATACTGTGAATGTTCTGACGCTAGTAGTGGCTAACGATATTATACCGACATAGCAAGTTGCTGAATTCTTACCCTGATGTAGTTAGCATTGATGTAAGAGCTAAGAGGATCATCTTGATCAGTTGAGGTAAGGCACACTCTGCTGTGAGGATCTGAAAAGTATAAGGAATTTGTTAATAATTATTAGTGAAGATGACCTGAGAGTATTTTTGAGTCTTGGGTAATACAGCTAGTCACCCAAACACTTCATTTGTAGGTACAGCAAATATCAGTGATGTTCAAAGGTGGATATTGGGAAGCCATACTGCCACTGATGGAAAGAAAAGGTTGGGCTCATTCAATCATCCTCTGAACCTGCATAATTGCCCCTGACAGACATAATGTGACTTGAGGATTCCAAAAATTACCATGGTTGTTTCCCCACTTCCAATAAGGCATTAGTTACTGCAATCTAATAACTTCAATCTAAATAATAATATAAAAAAAATACTGAGAATACCTTAGGAATCACTGATAACATTTTTCACAAGCAGTTCCCTTTTCAAATTGTACCAGCTGAGCCCTGAGTTGTGCTATCAACAGAAACAATACAGTTCAAGAAACAAAATGAGAAATGTATTGAGTCCAGAGCAGACAGCATAAGTTTGGTGGCTAAGCAGTGCTGCTTCCCCTCCTAGAATTTGGTTAGGAGGCATCAATATGCCTTCAATTCATATTCCTCAAAGGTCCTGTCCAAATTCTGTGGAAACCAATGGGAGCTTTTCCATAAGAGTTGGATCAGCCATATATGCATCCATTTTCATGGGTAGCACACAGAGGTCATCACAAGTAAAGTAGGGATATTTAGCTTTGGTAAAGTAGGGATAATCTGGAAAGAATTTCCTTCCTGCATGATCTTGGAAGATTAATCTGAAGTTAGGACACCCCCCCCCCCCCCATAAGCTTTCACGAACCCAAGTTTACTTCATGATGCTGTGAAAGGACAAGCAGAAAGGTGAAACCACCTTGCTATAGCTCTGGAAGTTTGAATACAAGCCCTCTTCTGGACTCATGTCAAAGGCTGCTCCTAGATGACGCAGCTGCAAATGGGTAACTGGTCATATCAGCTAGCTGGGTAGTCAAAGTCAGACAACATAATTTTAGTCATATTACTCCCTTGTGTGGCTAAAGAAAAATTGTTAAGCTGGGGTGGTCTGCTGACTTGACTGATTAGAAAAAATATACTTCAGTTTACCCAGAAGTTAAAGACAAATTTACATTTATCTTGCATGCAAAGTTATTTTTACACTTCACAAAAATGTTAAGAGCTGAACATGTAGCAATTCCTATTGCCAATATCCACTATTGTTCTCTGTATAATTCTATATAATCAAATTCTGTTCTAAGTCACACAGGAATCATTTTTATTCTTAATTATTAACTTGTATTTTTATATTTCATGTCACTGGGCTTCTGACCCAGTTAAAATCAGGGACCCACAGTGCTAGAAGCAAATATTTCATAGAATCTGCAGTCCCAAAACACTGGGACAAAAACTGCCTTGAAATACAGGGAAATTGCACCCATATAGCTGAGAGTGCAACTTGTCATTTTATCTCTTTTTCACATTTGTTGGAATGATTTTGTTTTGGAGCACAAGAAAAAAAAATCTAAATTACTGCCCAATTAATTCTATTAGTTTAATCTACTGGAAGCTGCTGTTTGGAATTACCTTGTTCAAAAGTATATACATACACTCTTCATGGGTGGGGGAACCTAGAGGAATTAAATCAAAAAGCATAAGACAGCTCTTTCAAAGTGGAGCAGAGAGAAACGTTTATCTCAGGGGCGTCAAAGATATAGCCCACGCACCAGATCCGGCCTGCAGAGCTGTATCATCTGGCCTGCAGTGCTGCCTGCTGTATACAGTATATTCTGGCCCTGTGTACTGTATGAGGCATGCAGAGCCTGTGGTGTGGGCTGCACAAGGCATGGGGCCAGTCCGGGGTGTGCACTGGATGTGGTGCCTGCACTGGACCAGCCCTACATGCTGGATCTGGGTCAGCATACCCCACACAGGGCTGGACTTGTGTCAGATTCAGCCTGCAGGGCTGGTCTGGTGTGGGCATCACAGGCAGTGAGCACACCAGAGTGCCCAAGTGTGCTGCATGCTGTGCTGGGCTAAAGCCAGTGCGTGAACAGAGCTAATGCATGCAGGTTGGACCCACAGACTGACTATGTGCCAGATTGCATGTGTAGGGTTGTCTGGTGTGGCTGCCATATGCAATGCATGTCTGACGGATTCTGTGTGCTGTGTGTAGTGTGTGCCTGGACTGGCCCTATTTGCTGAGTGCCATGTGCAAAGCCAGGGCATGCTGCATATGGTACAAGGGACTACAGCTGGCACATGCATTTCAAGCAACACGTGCATCCAGTCCAGAGTGTGTGTTGCATGTGGTGCTTACAGCGGACCAGCCTTGTAGGCTGGACCCAGCACATGGGGCTGGTTTGAAGGCCCGATCCAGCCTCAGACTGACCCTGTATCCCTCATCCAACCTGGCATGGCCAGATGAGTTTAACACTCTTGCTGTAGGTCATAACACAGACTGAAGACAAAATAATGTAATATGGAGCCCTTGTTTTGTGGATGACTAAAAAGGGTATATGATTAGATTTATCCAATGCTGCCAGATCTCATGATTTGCTATGATTTTTGTGATATTTGGTGTTTTATTCTAGAAGCCTCATTTTGCCAGAATCTCATGATTTCTCAGCTTTTCTTGAAAAATAAAAATAACGTTTCTGGCCCTGATAGTTGCAATGAACAACTGACTAAGGGATTCCTTGAGGATCCAGAAATGGAAGAACAATAAAGCAAGCTTGAAATTACTATTTTTAATACCCCAATGATTTTAAAGGCAATTTCATGATTTTTTTTGGAGGACAACTTGTGAGTTCTGAATACCCCAAAGTAGCAATTCTGTATGAGCCTGTATGTCAGCTTGTGCCAACTGACATGGCACTGTTCAAATGAATGAATCTATGATCATTTATTCCAGCTGAATGACCTGTGGGTCATTCATTTTTCTTTATGTTTCTCAATCTCAGGTCCTCATAGGGCCCGAACTTACCCTGGTTTCTGAGCCCTTCAAGGTCTTAAGTATATTTATGTTCATAATACCCTTGTGAAATAAAGTAGTGTTACTAATTCCATTTTACACATATGGCCCCTTGTTACACATTACATATATTAAACAATTAACTGGTTAATCTTGCAATAAATGTAGATGCAAAGTAAGGCACCCTCTACACAGGTGTTGTGTAATTATCTGGTTAATTACACAATTAACGGAGACCAACTACACATGCAAAGTACATATCACACCATTAAAAGGCCCAACCAGCTATAAAGTTAGACCTCAAAAATGAGGTCTAACTTTATAACTGGTTGCTATCCAGGACAGTAGCATATTCAGCATTTGTAGGAGCTTTTTACTTGCTGGTTCAGGGGAAATGCAGGGTGGGCAATCTTGGGCTCCCCCTTGTAGACAATAAGGTGTGATAGGATCCGATGCTGGATCCCACAGTCACACCTGCCATGCATGTGGCATAGCAACTGTATGGATTACACATCAGATCCTATCATGCCTTTACCTGAATGTCTAGAGGACTGGCCACAGGTGCAAAATAGTTATCACACAATTAACTGGTTAATCACACAATAAATTTATAGAATCATAGGGTGTTTATGAACCTGCTCCAGGAATGGGGGGCAGTGCTCCAATTAAAGCACCTGGAGAACCACTCTAATTAAAGTACCTGAAGCATCATGTGTATCAGCATCGCTGTGCTAAGAAATGGCGGTGGGGGCACTTTAACTAAAGCTCATCGAATGAGTTTTAGTTAAAGTGCCCCCACCACCATTTTTCAGTGTGGGGACGCTGATACACATGATGCTGGAGTCTGCTGGAGCGTGGTAATTACCGTGCTCCAAAAGACTTGATTAATTGAGTCTGCTTCGATATGCTGTAATTACAGTGCGTTGGAGCAGCCTTGCTGCATGTATATAGGCGCCCATAGAAAATTAGGGTTGGAAGGGTCCTCAGGTCTTCTAGTCCCTCCCCCTGCTCAAAGCAGGACCATGTGCAACTATATCATCCTGACAGGGCTTTTTCTATCTGGGTTTTAAAAAACCTCTAAAGATGGAGATTCTATAAACTGTCTGGGTAGCCTCTTCCAGTGCTTTACTACCTTCCTTGTGAGAAAGGTTTTCTTAATATCTAACCTAAACTTCTTTTGCTGCAGCTTAGTGAATCATAGAAAATCAGGGTTCAAAGGGTCTTCAGGAGGCTATATAGTCCAACCCCGTAACCAAACAGGACCATCCTAAATTAGATCATCCCAGGCAAGGCTTTGTCTAGCCAGGTCTTAAAGATCTCCAAGGACAGAGTCCACAACCTCTCTGGGTAACCCCTTCTAGTGTTTTACTACCCTCCTAGTAAAAAAGTTTTTTTCCAAATATCTAACATAAACTTCCCTTGCTTCAACTTGAACAATCTAGCTCCATCCTCTTTGGAACCCCACTTCAGGTAGTTGAAGACTGCTATTAAATCTCCTCTTAGTCGTCTCTTCTCCAGACTAAACAAGCCTAGTTCCCTCAGCCACTATCCCTAACTCATGTGCCCTAGCCCCCGAACCATTTTTGTTCCACTCCACTAGATTCTCTCCAATTTGTCCATATCCTTTCTGTAGTGTGGGGCCCAAAACTGGACACAGTACTCCAGATGTGGCCTCACTAGTGCTGAATACAGGGAAGAATCACTTCCTTCAGTCTGCTGGCAATGCTCCTACTTATTCAGTCTAATGTTGTTAGCTGTCTTGGCAACAAGGGCACACTGTTGGCTCATATCCATCTTATTGTCTTTTGTAACCCTCAGGTCCTTTTCTGCAGAGTTGCTGCTTAGCCAGTCAGTCCCCAGCCTGTACTGGTCCATGGGATTGTTCTGTCTCAAGTGCGGGACTTTGCATTTCTCCTTATTAAACCTCATGAGATGTTACAGTCATTTGTTTTTATTTATGCTAATTTAATGACAATAATAATTAAATGATTACTTTAGCAAACTATTTTAATACCGTTAGCTTTGTTTGTTTTTATCATCGTACTACATAGGAGCCCTAGTAAACAGTGACTTCAGTGGGGCTTTTTCCTAAGGAAGGACTGCATAAAATTGAGGCAGGACTTTTTAGGCTTTATAAACTTCACCTCTAACCTTATATTTTGGTTATAAATTAAGGCCTTAGGTAGACATACATGTTACATTGCTTTATAAACGCAGGTATAGTTAAAGCTATATTATTCTATTAGGGTAGATACAGTTATATTGGTAGAGTTTGTTCCTTTGGTAAAAAGCTATGTTAATATAAGCACCTCTGTCATCCACATGATGATTGTACCAGTACAACTATTTTTGTAAAAATGTAAAAAGGGCCCGTAACTGAAACAGCTGTATCACAACAAAACCAGTGTGTAGACCAGGCCTAGACTAACAGTGCTCCTGTTAGTCATGTTCCACAAAAAAGCCAATGTTATAATTTCTCTATGAAGTTATATTTTTCTGTGAAATTTCATAGGACACTTCCATAAGGAAGAAGGTTCAGACTGTCTGTGCAACTTTCAAACTCAACAGCTTGTGAAACATCCAAATTAATCAGATTAATTTGGAACTTCTTCAAACACAAAACACCCCTCCCCCTCCACCAACAAAGACCCCTCAGAGCCATCTCTACCATCACCACTAACAAAACTGGGAATCTGCAAAAGAAATTACTACAAAAGAAATATATATTAGCTGAATTAGACCTTATTATCATGTCTATCACCGAGTACAATTAACTCTAGGGTTGGAAGTAACTGATCATTATGTTAAGTGCCTGCTTACCTTTCAGTGATAACTGCCTCAAAAACTTCTGGAGAATACAGCTGGTTAGAAAATTGTAGGTATTCAAAAAATAGGGCAACATGGTTTGCTTTCATTGTTGCTTTCATTATAAAAAGCCTGCTGCTCCCTGGTATAAGCTGAATGTCATATTTGATTGCCATTGTGCATGGTAGCATGGTCAGCACTTCCTTCCATTACTCCTTGCTGCAGGCCAGAACTTAGAGGGGCCTTGCGGGGTGCCATAAGGCAGCAAAGGTTGTGTTTGATTAGTCTGGAAATTAAGCAGCTAGTGGAATCAGTAGACCTGAGCCCAGTCCCTCACCACTTAAGCCTACAGCATTATGCACTTTCTTCTCTTCGGTGCTGTGGACAGTGTTGTCAAATAGCTCACTTTTGTGACAAGAAGGGAGTGAAGAGCTCTGCTCTTAGGTCTCCTCCATGCCTATACCATTTTTCATTCCTAAACTAACATTGGGTGTCTTCCAATTTTAGGGACACAGGACAAGATTTAAAGAATTACCGTAGAGGTGATAGTGGTGGGTCCTTTTACATACTAGGCTCTAGTCATCCTTATCAGGCCGGTGACATAGGGATGTTAACTTTGATGGGTACAGCTCATTTTGAAATCAGAAGATAAATATCCTTTGCAAACAATTTTGACTCAATTAATTGTTAATTTTCAGATCCAGTCAGGAATTGGGAACCATTTTTCTTAATCGAGACAAAGCTCAGAAATAGGAATGACTGTTAGCAGATTTTGGAAAACTGAGGCTGAGTTCATATTTTACCTCGGTCCTGGGGAAGATCTTTGAGAAAATTATCAAGGAGCACATCTGCAAGGGACCAGAAGGGGAGATCATGCTCAGGGGGAACCAACATGGATTCATTAAGGGAAGATCCTGTCAGACTAACCTTATTTTCTTTTACGATCAGGTTACAAAGTCCTTGGACGAAGGCGTGGGGGTGGATGTTGTCTTCCTGGACTTTAAGAAGGCCTTTGACACTGTCTCTCATGCTATTCTCATAAGAAAACTAGGTGACTGCAGCACTGATGCCTACAGTCAGATGGGTGGCTAATTGGCTGGACGGTCGCATACAGAGAGTGGTGGCGGACGGGTTGCTTGCGACCTGGAGGGATGTGGGCAGTGGGGTTCCCCAGGTCTGGGTTCTCAGGCCTGTACTGTTCAACATCTTTATCAATGACTTGGACGAGGGGGTGGAAAGCACGTTGTCCAAGTTCACTGATAACACCAAGATGTGGGGCGAGGTGGGCACGCCAGAAGGGAGGGACAGAATCCAGCTAGATCTGGACAGGTTGCAGGGGTGTGTGGATGAGAACAGGATGGAATTCAACGTGGACAATTGCAGGGTACTGAATCTAGGGAGAAGGAACCAGCAGCATACCTATAGGCTGGGGAACATCCTTCTCGTCAGCACAGAGGCGGAAAGGGATCTTGGAGTCATTGTCGACTCCAGGTTGAACATGAGCCGCCAATGCATGGAAGCTGTCAGTAAGGCTAACTGCACCTTGTCGTGCATCTACAGATGCATCACAAGCAGGTCCAGGGAGGTGATTCTCCCCCTCTATGCAGCATTGGTCAGGCCGCAGTTGGAGTACTGCATCCAGTTTTGGTTGCCACAGTTCAACAGAGATGTGGCTAGCATTGAGAGGGTCCAGAGGAGGGCCACTTGCATGATCAGGCGCAGCAAGGCAGGCCCTACGAGGAGAGACTAGAGGGCCTGAACCTATTCAGCCTCCACAAGAGAAGGCTGAGGGGATCTGGTGGCCATCTACAAATTCACCAGGGGGATCAGCAGGGAATAAGAGATGCCCTGTTCCCCTGGGCACCACCCAGGGTAACAAGGAATAACGGCCACAAGTTGATAGAGAGCAGGTTCAGGCTAGACATCAGGAGGCATTACTTTACTGTTAGGGAGGATAGGACCTGGAACCAACTTCCAAGGGAAGTGGTGCTTGCTCCTACCTTGGGGGTCTTTAAGAGGAGGCTGGATAGATACCTGGCTGGGGTCATATGACCCCAGCACCCGTTCCTGCCCAAGGCAGGGGGGTCAGACTTGATGATCTGTTTAGGTCCCTTCCGACTCTAGCTACTATGATACTACAATATCAAAATACCTGGAGAGTGACCTAAGGAGGAATTAAGTAGAATATAAGGGGACAAATCAACAGGGACCTGATTACAAAGGTGGGCCATGCCATTCCTTAATTCCCCCCCCCCCCCCCCCCCCCCCAAAATGCTAAAAGCCATTCCAAAAATCAGGCTGCTTTAAGGTATTTCAATCTGGGTCTCCAAAGTGGAGGCACTGAACATTTCAACTCATGTTTGAAAATCTACCTAGCTCCATCTATACAGTAAGTTAATGACTGAATCATGGATCACTCAAACCATCAACATATCTTCACAGAGAGGTTCTGTAATGTTTGGTCCCAGCTGGAAATGTCAAAACATTACCTAAAAGGCCAATCTGCATGAGATTTCTGCAATTCTGAGAGCTGGAAGTTGAGATAAAGCCCATTCTTCCATGATTTCCAGTCATGTGGAATAATCTGATTTGTATGGATAAGCACATATATTCTTAACCTTTGCCTGAGCTGAACTAGCACTCTGAACCACCTGCGCTGCCCTGAAAAAGCCAAAGTGGTGATTGGTGGTGGCATCTATTCAACAAGAGCTAAAAGTGAATGAGAGGGATCTGTGAAAAATGTACAAGTTCAGATCATTGTATCCATTTCCAAAGCTTCTTTAAATATGACACAACAGACAATGATGATGGTTCTAAAGTTAATCCTAAACAATAAATTTCTTAAAATCTTGAATTTTGGCTACAGATAAAATGCAACCAATACAAAAAAAATAATTTATTGTAGCTTGTTAAAGTGAATGAAGCTTTCAGGAGCCACTCTAATTAAAGCACCCACAGCATGTCATGTATACAGTGTCCTGCACTTCAAAATTCTGGCAGGGATGCTTTAACTTAAGCTTGGTTGATAAGCTTTAGTTAAAACACCCTCCACCACCATTTTGAAGCACAGAGATGCTGAATACACGAGACACTGAGGTTATAGGCACCCTATGTGTCTAACTCATTATATTAAAAAAAAACAACCTTAAAAGTGATGTATGTGTTTTGTAAATGTGACCTTTGGTAATAATTGTCAAAGCATGGTAAAAATATCCTGAAAAGGAAAGCTTTTATAAAAGGTATTCTAAAAAATGGAAGAAAATAATATTGAAACTTTGATTAATACTGCATCATTAATTTGCAGAATTATAAAATAGGTTTGGAACTTACTTGGAAGAATTGTTTTGTAGCGATTCTTCCTCACTAAACCTGGAATATCATATTCCTTTGGATCAATAAAGTTCATTGGGATTTCCTATTGGAAGATGCACAGTAGACTGCATTAATAGATTCACAAGAGGAAAAAAACAAACTATTACATCTTGACTATGAAGGCGAAGCAGTAATGAAGTCAGCTGAGACATATGGTACAGTACTTCCAGCAATTTACCTCCACAACATGATTGATGGTTTCCTTTTTGTGTCCATGGCTTTCATTTCTCAAATTATGAATATGAAAATTATCCTGATGACTAATTCATTGAGTAATGCATACTATGGCATTATGTTAGTGCTTAATATTATTAGGACTGTATTGGGACGTTAGGAACAGACCTGAGCAAAGAATGATGCTTAAACTTCATGCCACAAGAGCAGCCCCAAGAGCACTATACCTCAGGGCATGAACAGATGAAACCAATATAGTATTTTAAAAGGTGAAGATGGAGACTGATGATGGATTCAGCTGCACCACACTAAATATTGGGTTTGTCTACCCCTATCCTGTAATATGCGAAGTTAGATCACAATAATTCACTTCTTGTTTCATTCAGGGGTAAAATTACTAAGGTTTGCTTTCACTTACTGCAGAATAAGAGCAGACAGGCAGGACAATTATACCAGATCAACTAACACATTGTTCATGAGTGGCAAGTCCTCCCTAGCAGCTGTTAAGATAGTGTAATTGTACCTGTGCCTTTGGGTATGCTGCTCTGAAGCACAGCCCCTACTGTTTCTTCTACTTGATAAGGGTGGAAAGTAATAATTTCTTACTGAAGTGTATCAGTAACAAATTATAACACCTTTCTTAAGAGCTCAGAAGTAGGGCTGCGCGAAGCTTTGGTCCCTGATTCAATTTGGCAGAGATTCGGCCTGATTTGGTGGCCGAATCTCCGAATTTGAATCGGATCAGAGGACCCTTTAATCTCTCTGAATCGAATTGGAACCCTCCAAATTGATTCAGAAAGATTTGGAGAGTTGGACATAGACACAGCTTTAAATGTTTTTTTTATATATCTGAAGGTACCAGGAGGCTCGTGAATGCTGCAATGCTGGGGCGGATGGAGCATCCCACAGGAGTGCGGGGGGTCCCCAGAATGTTCGGCAGCAGACCTGGAAGTGGACCAGAAGCACTTCTGGTTCACTTTGGGGTTTGCTGGGGAGTGTTCAGGGGGTGGGGGGCCCACGCCCCCCCTAGCTCAGCAACTGGTGCCTCCTGGGTCTGGGGGAGGGCACCCAGAGTCCGCACGCAGCTGATTGCTGAACCAGGAGGGGGTGCGGGGGTGGGGGGTGTCCCCTAGCATGCTGCCCGGCAGACCTGGAAGTGGACCAGAAGTACTTCCAGTCCACTTCCAGGTTCACTGCTCAGCACATGGAGGGTCCCCCTGCACTTCAATCAATGAATTGAATCACTGTCCCTGATTCAGGCCGAATCCAAATCCAAATTGAATAGGGTCCGCTTTGCACACCCCTACTCAGAAGCACTGGCCAATGAGTATGGAGTGTTGGAATCAAGTAATAAACCACTTTTATTCCCTCCTTATCTGGCTAGCCCTATCTCCCTCTTTTGCAAGCAGTAATAGCAAAATGGGTGCTGTACACCCCCTGACTTATACACTACTATAGTTCAAGCAGCTCACAGAGAGTTGCTGGGACTTCATTCTTCCTTCCTCACTTACCCAGATTTGCAGTCCAAGTTACTAGTCAGATGTAGCAGGAAAAAAGGTTTAATGCAAGCACTCTAGTCATTCATCATGACTGCATCTGGAGGTAAGTCAGGTAATTGAATTACTGGGCACACCTGCAGTGAAGTTAAAATGTGCTGCAAAAGGAGTCCTGAATTACAACTTAGGGATGTACTATCTCATAGCTGAAGGAAAAGGCAGGGAGACTTTTTGTTCTCAAAAGGGCTTTATTGCAACTGCTAACACAGACACAGATGGCTGACAACTTCTTGTTGATGCCATTTCCTCAGCCCTCAGGAAGGGAATTAACTCTTACCACTACATTTCCTTTTCTACAATAAGGGAATCCAGGAGGGACCAGGGTAGATCCAGAGATATTTAGGCGCCTACACAACCAATGAAACCAACGACAGGTTAGGTACCTAAGTCCCTTTGGAGATCTGGCCCTAGAACTTCATTCTTGGATTAGGGAGAAAACTGTTAAACTAAATCCTAACCAATACAATACAAAGTACTTCTTGGAGACTCCAGGGAGAAGCCCTGGGTTTTGTTCTTCTGAAAAGAAGAGCAGAATTGAAGAGAAACCCCAGGAGGAAAAGAGGACATGGTATTCAGAACCAGTATTGTTTGTTCATCTCCTCTGGGAATTTAAGGACATTCATATCCTGGAGGGGGCAGCTGAAGGGCTGAGTCAAAGCAAAGATAAATAATTGAAAGGCTTGGAGTGCCAGTGGGTGCCAGATGAGGATGGAAGTCTACAATGCCATGCTATGCATGTACTGGGTGATGATGAGTCACCCTTCCACAATGCTCTCCCATAAATAAGAGTGCTTTTTAAAAATGGTCCTGTACATGGCTACTGTTCAGAAACCTCCACATAAGGGGAACTCCAGGAGACTGGTAATGGGAGATGGAGCCTTTTGCATCTAGATGACAGATTTTAAATTCAGGATTTGTTGGGAGCTATATGCTTACTGGCAACAGCACGCATAATTAGTATGCTGGAAGCAAAACATCCTCAGGAGGGAGCTGAGGACTGCATATTACACTTGAGGGGGAATTCTGAGATGTAGTCCCTCCAGGACAGGGTGGAGATACACTGACAAGGCTTGTTCTGGTTCTGCCTGTTTTCCTTCTTCTGCATATACACAAATGTTCAAGTCTCCAGGATTGTTAACCTCCTATCTTTGCTAACAACAACAACAACAACAACACTAAAAAATTAAAGTAGACAAAATTAGACAGAATGGAGACCATATTTTTTTGTGGTGGATTCTGCTCTGCATATGCTCTGTTTTTCTGATCTTTGCTTTACCTAATATTTTTATGTTCAGCCATGTGTTGTTTTTTCTTGTTTTCCCTATCCCTTTTAATCAGTGATTTCTAGGAAGGATGGGGTGAAGCTTGACAGAAGGGCCACATCTTTGTGCTCTTATTTAATGGAACATTTGCAAACAAAGCCTGTACACATCAGCTCCCATTTGGTCCCATAGGAAATCCAGTGATTTAGGGGTTATTTTGACAGACATGCAAGTTAAAACTGGAAACAAAACTGACCAGAATTTCTTCTTGCAGCCAGAATCATCAGCTAGCATTGTTTAGAATGCATCTAAGAATTAGTTGTATTATGACCAAAAAAAGAAAAGAAAAGAAAGAATCCTTTTTCTTCTCCCAGAGCCCAATCTTGAGGTCTCTAATTAGCTTGTCTTCAATGGGAACTGGGGACTGAATGAAAACCAAATGAAAAATAAGTAAGGACTACAGAGGTTTGGCCTTGTATCTGGAAACGGGGGCTCAAAGACTCTCCTTTGCTTCTGTCTGTGAAGGGGGAAAATCCTACAAATTACTGGCAGAGGGGGGAGTGGATGGGGGAACACTGGAAGGTGTCAGTCCATTCTTTTCATGGTTTCTCTGAAAGTCCTCTGAGGTCAGGGAGTGGGTGGGTTAAGGGGATAGATGCATACCATGCCACCTT